TACATGTATGGTGGTATCAAAATTGTTAACCCATAGCCTTGTCAGCAACAACTTTATCAACTAGAGTACAGTGCTTATGACACAGTTTCTTTTGTTTTTAGTCTTATGATCTCCATTCATTTCAAAGTTACTTAGGTCAGCACCTTTTTTTCCCACCCCTTTCAATGAGGTTATTTCACACATTTTTAATATGGTTAGATTCTTTTGGCATGATCTGAATTCTATCCTTGGATTCTCTGACTTCCTAAATTATTTTTTAAATTTTCATAAATTTAAGGTTCACACTTCCTATGGATTTTGACAAATGTATAGTTGTTATGTATCCACCATTATCGTATCACACAGAAGAGTTTCACCACTCTAAATTTCCTGTGCTTCACCTATTCAACCATGCTCCTTCCCTAAAGCCTTGGCAACCACGGATCTGTTCAGCAACTCTATAGTTGCGCCTTTTCTAAAATGTCATATAGGATGCAGTTGTACAGGATGCAGTCACACAGGACGGAGCATTTTCAGACTGGCTTCTCTCACTCAGCAACATGCGTTTAAGATTCACCCCATAGTTTGGATGGCTTAATAGCTCATTCCTTTTCCTAAGGACTTTTTTTTTTTTTTTGGAAGCAGATGTACTGGTTCTACTCCCAGAGATTCTGACTTACTTGCTCTGGTGTGGGGCTTAGGCACTGATATGGGAATGGAGATTGTATCTCCTTACCTCAGTCACAAGAACATGCGCAAGTGTCTGTGGACACACAAGCGCGTGCGCGTGCGCACACACACACACACACACACTCCCTCATTAATCCAAGTCACTGGTGGCCGTACCCATGGCTTGAGGCAGTGGTTTTTGTAGATTTGGTAGCTGGAATAAACAGACAGGATGACAAGATGTTAAGAACTGGTCGGGTTGGATCAGGTGAGAAGTTTCCCAAAAGCTGGTGCTTACAGACTTGGTTGTCTTGCCAGGTAAAGTCTCTTCTTCCTGGTCCACTTGAGAACAGCCACATATAATTCTCATCTTCCTTTTCTGTCCATAAACACAAGAGGCTTTGGGAATTTTCCAAGGAGTATAACTTCTGTTTTTTGTTGGAGAAACTGGGAATTAAAATGCTCCTTCCTGTGCTCACATTAAACCTTATAAGAAAGGCAGTTGTATTGTTCCAGCATTTCACCACAGAATTTGGGTTGCAGGCTTTAGGAAAAGAGTAAGATAGAGCCTATGGTGGAGGGGAAGGACAAATGCGGTGGGGAGGAAGTCAAGGTCATAGCCACTTAGGTCCTGCTCCAGAAATGGACGGAACACTCTAAAAGTTCACCCTTTTCTTACTACTTACGTTTTTTTTTCTTTTTTTAAAAAAATTTAATTTAATTTAAAGTTCTAGGATACATGTGCAGGTTTGTTGCATAGGCAAATGTGTGCCATGGTGGTTTGCTGCACCTATCAACCCATCAGCTAGGTATTAAGACCCACATGCCTTAGCTGTTTTTCCTGATGCTCTCCCTCCCGCTCCCCTGACAGGCCTCAGTGTGTGTTGTTCCCCTCCCTGTGTCCATCTGTTCTCATTGTTCAGCTCCCATGTACACGTGAGAACAGGCAGTGTTCGGTTTTCTGGTCCTGTATTAGTTTGCTGAGGATAATGGCTTCTAGCTCCATCCATGTCCTTGCAAAGGACATGATCTCATTCCTTTTTATGGCTGCATAGTATTCCATGGTGTATATGTACCACACTTTCTTTATCCAGTCTATCATTGATGGGCATTTGGGTTGTTTCCATGTCTTTGCTTTACACTCATTTTCAACTTCACATCTGGCTGTGTACCAGGAGACACACGTAGAGGACAGAGATGTGGAATTCTTGAAACTACTAAGTCATCCCTAGAGCTCTTAGTTTGTAAGTTTTTAGGAGATATGCATGAGTCAGACACAGATAAATGCCCTTGATATCTGAATCAGGAATACATCTAACTAGAAAGTATGTCCATTCTGAATTTTAATCATAAAAGAGTTCAAAAAAAGAAAAGAAAAACAACTGTTAGGGATTAAAAAAATTCTAGGTAATAGTATAGAGTCAGAATACATCTAGCACACTTTTTATATCTTGTACTTCTATGCTATAAAATGTAACTGGTATTTATAAGTATTACCCAGAGGCACTGTTGATTCTGAACTGTTTTATGCAGCATCAAATATAGTTTTTATTTGCATTAGACAGTGTTTCAGACAGAACTAAAAGGTTTTAGTTATTGTTAATGTTTTACTAATCCTTAAATGTTGGCAATTGGAGTGTGCTAGATACAATAACACAAATAATTTGCATATTTTATTTTAAAAGATGCCTTATTCCACAAGTATCCTATATACATAAGACATGTATTTTCCAATTAATTAACAGAGACAATGTTTTGATGCAAGGAGAATTCAGGGAACAACTGGGCTAAGTGAACTAAAATAGTTCCAAAGGAAACGGTAATCAGTATATGGAGAAAGACTTATTTATTTCTGAAAATGGATGCGACATGTAAGATGAGACCATTTCTCCATGTGTCATAAATGGTTTCAGAAAATGAAAGCAACACTTACCCCTATAGTGGAAGCCATGTAGTCTGAGCAGATCTCGGCAAAGTCTCTCCCCATTACTCCATAGTAGAGGCCGTAGAACAAAGACACAATGCCAAAATCCATGGAATCTCTAGCTTTGATTCTGTTGAAAACAACAGTATAAGGAAATAAGAATGTGGCATATTTCAAAACAGCTGGAGTTTGGAAAATATTTCCTGTTGATAGTATCTAAGAGAACCTTGTGAGTATTTTTTTTTCATTGTTTTGTTTGATTTTTCTTTTTTTAAATGAAATAATTTAAAATTCTCTAAATTTCCCTCAAATTGTAGCACTCAGTGCCAACTGGACATAGGAATTCTTGAGACAGCCTTCAAGCGCTTCTTAGGACTGCAGTGCCTAGACAAGCTGACTCTGACCAGTGGTTTCAGGCTCAGCTACAGGTAGGCCTCAGCAGCTTGTAACAGTTTCCATCTCCAGGCCACACCCCAGGTAACTCCAATGGGTAGATAACATTAAAAAGGGCTAGAGCAATAGTTCTCAGCCCTAAACATAGATTAGAATCACCTGGGAAAATTTAAAAGCGCATTGACACATGGGCCCACCACCAAGGACTGGAGTTTAGTTGATCTGGGTTGGGGTCTTATTTTTGAACAGCTTGTCAGTGATTGATTCTTTAATACAGCAAGGATTGAGTATGTCTGCTGTATAACTTAGATTTTTGTAAAATGCTTTCCAAGGATCTTTCCTAACAAGTGCTTGAGATAGATATTATCACCCCCACTTTGCATGTGAAAACATGGAGACTTAGAAAACATGATTTGCTTGACACAACAAGTGGTACATCACAAAACCACAAATCAAGCTCATATCTTGAAGCCCTTGATTACCATGCCAGAGTTGCTATGTACTAACTGAAAAAAACTTTTTGCAAGTTAAATCACATTTCAATTATACCAGGATTCTTTGTGATCATCCCCCCACCCAGTTTTTTTTTTCTCTTAATGGAAAGATCTCTTTTAAAAGTGAATAATGTGCCCTAAATTTAATTTGTGAATCTAAATAATTGCACATTTGTTTTGCTCTATCTATAAAACAATCTCAAATACCAGCAGTGAGCCTTGGTAGTTCTGATTGATTCAGGGAAGGGAGGCAAGTGTGGACAAGAGTTGGGTAGTCTGTCTCTAAAACCTATTTCTGTTTTCTGTTCATTGCAGGAAGAAATGGTGAAGGCAGACAGCTTTGTAGATTTAGAAGGTACAGATTTTTGGGTGATATGAACTAAGGCTTCCAACACATGTGGTAGCTTCATCCTTTCAGGATTTGTCTGGGTATATCTGACAATTAGGACAGTGGGGGAAATGAAGAGTATCTTCCCTCCATGTCCAGGGAAATATGTATTTATAATTTTATTGATAAAAAGTACAGTAACACACTTGTGGCCCTAGGAAAAAAGCATAATACAATGATAACCATCAAGTAGTGAAAACAAAATAGTTAATTTTCTGAAGGGTTAAGTTTTTGGTATGCCTTACTGTAGGAAAATTCATGAATGAGGATCTTGAAATCTTATGAGGTAATAGTCTTGGAACAGCTATCGTTCCTAGTGATTTCAAAAAAATTCTTATGAGTATTTTTATGTTCACTAAAATAAACCAGTATAGAGAGTATGTTATAAAAGATATTACAGTGTCTTTCTATATCCTAGCCTAGCAATAATAGATCTGTATAATTACTTTCTACCCCTTTTCTGCTAGAAAATGTTAGATGCTCCCGCTCTGAAAGTTTTGTGAAATGCTTATAAAATCAGATTGCTACACTGCCCTAGGAAGAGCCCTTTCACCCAGGGCTGACTCTCCCTCCAACTGCCTTCCCTATTTTCTGAGTAAAGGATTGATGATCTCTCCTTTTCGATTTCTGTTATGGTCCCAGAAGTTTAGAGTAACTTTGATGTGAGAGCTATTCTGGGGGATTTGAATTTGAGCTGCTTTCCATAGGTATGCTTTGCATACCATAGTGTGGTATGTCTTCAATCCCCTTTCCAGGACACAGGCTGGTTACTCAGCCTCAGTTGTGCCCCTGAGAATGCCATCCACAGCATGTCTCAGCAACCACCTTAAGTGGGAGCACAGCTCTAGTCAAAGATGTGGTTATCCCAAATTCCTTTATCTCTCCCTAGACTTTCTTGCTCTTTTATACCTTTACTTCTCTTTCAATTTCTTTTTAAAAACTCCCCATCTATTAAACAATAGATATTGACATGTTTTCTATCCTTCAAATCTTTTTTATTTGTTTATTTGGTTTCCCAGCTTATATATTTTTCCAATTAAAATTATTTTTGAGACAAGGTCTGGCCATGTTGCCCAGGCTGGTCTTGAACTCCTGACCTCAAGCAATCCTCCCACCTCTGCCTCCCAAGTAGCTGGGATTACAGGCACGAGCCATGGCACCCAGCCTCTTGCAATTTCTAAGCATTCACTTTTCCTCCTTTTCCAAGTATCCCCAACATGAGGCATTTCATGACTATCAGAAACCAAATTCAAGAGAGCAGTACTGTCCAATGGAAATACAGTCACAAATAAAATTTTAAATTTTCTGTAGGTACATTTAATATGTCAAACAACAACAACAACAACAAAAAACAGGTGAAATTAATCTCACTGATACATTTAAATTCTATCATTTCAAAATGTAATTGATATAAAAATGTTTTTTATGTAAGTCTTTGAAATTCAGTATGGATTTTACACTTAGAGTACATCTTATTTCATATTTTAGGTGTTCATTAGTCACATAAGCTAATGGCTACTATATTGGACAACATAATTCTAGAGGTTTTAGATAAGAAGATATATATAAAAGGAGATCTAGGTACTTGAGAATTTCGTAAAAGAGAAATTAGTTTAGTAAGAATTACTCTAGCACAATTGTAGGTCCACTCTTAATAGTAATCTTTTAAATTTGCAGACCAAATAGAAATTCTCCTTAAAGCTCCTAATTTTAAAAAATTATTTTGTAGGGTGCTTCTTTCTTCCCTTTCTATTGGTTTTCCCCAGACAAGACTATGTGTGGATATGTACTATAAAACATGTGTGCATGGAAAATTGTAGGGCCAGATGCTTCCGGATTAAGAGAACATGACCAGGTGAGTGTGCCACGCAAGTGCTTGGAGATATTAATGTCTTAATTGGAGATACTTACTTGAAAAACAGATTGAATCCACATATTGTAAACATGATCGCCAAGTAACCTACAACACCAAATGCATAGCTGAGTTTGTAGATCAAAAGAAACCATTTGTAGACCAACCTGTGGAGTGAAAAATGGGGAGAAACACAGAACGTGGTATTATTAGAAAATATTTTGTCTTTTTCAAAGACTTATAAAGCAGCTTTTAGTTTCTAAAATTATATTTATAACACACAGAACAGATATGTATAGCAATAAGCATTATATGAATAGAACTATCATGCTTATGTGTTTCTGTGTATATGCATATGTGAATTCTTTTTAAATTTGTCTACATCCCTCAGATGCTTCACTTAAAAATAGCCTTCAGGAAAGGTTACTTTTCCTGGGACCCTGCCTCCCCACACCACCCCCTTCTCATTTGGTCCTAGGGTTAAGCTTGAGTGGTTTCAGCAGGAGTGCCTTGGAGGTGAACAAAAAGTGGGATGAGAAGTCAAAGGGAAGTCCAGACCTTCTTCCCCAGGAGCTTTTCTTCCCTCTTGTTCCGTTGCCCCTTTTCCCCCAGCCCCAGTGCAGATATCACCAGTAGTGGGCCCAGCCCTCATCCCATTTCCCCTCCACCCAAAGAGCCCTCCCCTAGCCCAGGGGATGAAATGACGAGTACCCCAGGCTACTTCCTTCTGCTGTGTGGAAGGGTCCTGTGTGTACCCCAACACCCTCTGTGACCTTCTAAGGCCTTTCCTTGTTCCCAAAGGGTCTAAGTGGAGAAGGAAAAGGATAAGGATGGAGGGTGATTGAAGAGAATATAGAAGGAAAGAAGGAAGCCCTCCCCTCTGCTGGTTTCCTTCTTCACCGGCAGTAAAGGCCCTTAGAAAACAACTACAAGAAGGACCACGTGACAGCTTCATGTCTAGGAAGATGGGGGAAGAGGTTGGGAGCCCAGTTCCATTCTTGGAGGGCCACAGCAGAGGGGCTACGCCCACTGGTACAAGAGGTGGTGGATGGAAAAGCTGGGGGCTTATCTTTGTTGCTCAAAGAAAATGAAGAGGTGGCTGGAATGCTGCTTACAAGGGTGTGCAATGGCAGAAGGCCCTGTTTGCCTCACAACCCTTTCCCTGCACATCCTCTTGGAGTCTCTTTCCTGCCTTTCACCCCAAACTGCATTCAGAATCTCGTTCCAGAGATTTAGCCCCACCCTCTCACCCCCAAGCCCCGAGCCCTGTCTCTGACTCTCTTACCTTCCCCAGCTCACTCCCTGTTGGAGCCACTGTACCAAATGCTTAATATCTATGATATTACTAGCATAAGGTTTCAATATGATTTTAATAGGTGCTCTATTTCACTGAGTTCCAGTCAGAAGGGACCTTCTAAACATTATGGTTTAAATGGGTTTTGGGCTAGCCCATGAAATGAGTTGTCATATACATCACTTCTATAGTGAAATGCCTTCTGCACTTCAAGCAACTGATATTCAAGGACAGTCTGTGCTGCTACCTCCTCCACCAGGTGTGATCCTGCCCCGGGGGGGGAGTAGGCAGGGGTGAGCTACATGGGGGAGCAGGCAGGGGTGAGCTACGTGGGGGAGTGGGCAGGGGTGAACTACATGGGGGAGTGGGCAGGGGTGAGCTACGTGGGGGAGTGGGCAGGGGTGAGCTGCATGGGGGAGTGGGCAGGGGTTAGCTGCATGGGGGAGTGGGCAGGGGTGAGCTGCATGGGGGAGTGGGCAGGGGTGAGCTACGTGGGGGAGTGGGCAGGGGTGAGCTGCATGGGGGAGTGGGCAGGGGTTAGCTGCATGGGGGAGTGGGCAGGGGTGAGCTGCATGGGGGAGTGGGCAGGGGTGAGCTGCATGGGGGAGTGGGCAGGGGTGAGCTACATGGGGGAGTGGGCAGGGGTGAGTTGCATGGGGGAGTGGGCAGGGGTGAGCTGCATGGGGGAGTGGGCAGGGGTGAGCTGCATGGGGGAGTGGGCAGGGGTCAGCTGCATGGGGGAGTGGGCAGGGGTGAGCTATGTGGAGACAGAAACTTGCATGGGCTGCAGAAGTTTGCTCAAATTACTGTGAGGTTGTGTGGCCTCAAAAGGAAGCCAGAGAAGGCTTTTGGGGTCTTTCTGCCACAGTGACTCTCAAGCCATGGGTTCTTTTCATTTGTCAGTACTGAGCAGCTTAGATCATTGCTCAGAGCAGCCAGATCAAGGCAGAAGTTTATGTTGCTAAAAGTGGTGATGATGGAGAAACAGGCAAGCTCTGAGAAGGTCCCCTCTACTGGGCCCCCAACACCTGCCAGTACCAGAATATGGTTCCTTGAACTCCACACACACTGGTGACCCATCTCCCTGCCTGAAGGGGCCGCTTTCGAACTTCTGCCAGCATTAGAGATGTTCTAGGACTAATAACCTTTAAACGGCAGGGTTTCTCTGTGCAAAGCGGTTTGTTGAGTTGATGAAGTCATAGCATGCTTTTGGGAGCAGGAGCTTTGCAGCCAAGTAGTTCTTTGGTCTGATCCAGGGCTTTGCTGCTTACTGCCCATGGGACTTTGGTCAATTTACTTGGCATTCCTTCCTATGATTGTCTAATTCATAACGTGAGGATGATAACACTAGCTCCTACAGTTGTTGTGAAGATTGTGTGAGCTAATGTATTGATGTTTATTGACTTGGCACACTAAATGCTCAATATGTCATATCACTGTTATGGATGTGTTCGATTTTCCAAATCTCAAGCCCCCCTTCTCCTGCCATTTTCATGCTTATTTGGGGAACCTATTTTCAGGAACAGTAGAGTCCAGAACTTCCTCGCTCCCCAGACTTACACTGTAAGGCAGATAAGCCAGATAGGAGATTGTGTAACTGCTTCAGAGCAGCCTCCAAAAGGAAAGCTTGGTCTTGGGTTGGATTTGATGTGATCAAGCCCAGCTCTCTGTGGCTAGTGTTTGTGTGTGTGTGTGTTTGTGTGTGTGTGTTTGAGGTAGAGTCTTGCTCTGTTGCCCAGGCTGGAGTGCAATGGCGTGATCCTGGCTCACTGCAGCCTCTGCCTCTGGGTTCAAGTGATTCTCCTGCCTCAGCCTCCTGAGTAGCTGGGATTACAAGCACCTGCCACTACACCTGGCTAATTTTTGTATTTTTAGTTGAGACAGGACTTCACCATGTTGGACAGGCTGGTCTCAAACTCCTGACCTCAGGCAATCCACCCACCTCGGCCTCCCAAAGTGCTGGGATTACAGGCGTGAGCCACCGCGTGTGTGGCTTATTTCTGACTCTGAACTTCACTGCTTGCCAGACAAACCAACTGTAGTTGAGAGGAAATTCACTTCCCCTTCTCTGGGCATCCTATCCTGAAACAAGAGCTTGATGTGCTCTCAAAGAGGAACAGTAGCCGGGCGCGGTGGCTCAAGCCTGTAATCCCAGCACTTTGGGAGGCCGAGACAGGCGGATCGTGAGGTCAGGAGATCGAGACCATCCTGGCTAACACAGTGAAACCCCGTCTCTACTAAAAAATACAAAAAACTAGCCGGGCAAGGTGGCGGGCGCCTGTAGTCCCAGCTACTCGGGAGGCTGAGGCAGGAGAATGGCGTAAACCCGGGAGGCGGAGCTTGCAGTGAGCTGAGATCTGGCCACTGCACTCCAGCCTGGGTGACAGACGAGACTCCATCTCAAAAAAAAAAAAAAGAGGAACAGTAGGCTTTGAACTGCTGGTGCTGGAGACCACTGCTCTCAGGTCTGCCTTCTACAGCAATGCTGATTTCTTCACCCAGCTCCCCTTACCTGTAATGAAATCCTCTGCTTCCAAATGGAAGATAGTTAAAATGTGACTCACCTGTAATACAATAACTAAGCAAAGATCTATGATAATTCTGGGGCCTATTGCCTCTTACGTACAGAAGCTCCATCCTGACTGCTCTTCTAGAAGAGGCCCTACCTTGCTCACTGATGTCTCTTCAAATGGCAGCTGAGTTTGCTTTGTAATGTCAGTGGAGCCTCTTGACTCTCAGACTATCCTTTAGGGCTTGGAGTTGTGCAGGCAGGAAGAAGCTGAGAGGACATGCTTTGGGCATGGGAAAGAGAGTGGACATATGCAAGCCATAAAGGGTAATAAGGCAGCATTTGGGTATTTCTTGTAATAAAGTTCCTCTGCATTGCACAAACTGAAGTGCACAAAAACATTGCCTTTAGGTAGGGTAATTCATTATACAGTGGATAGGCAAACCATTCTCACAGAAATACAACATAGATTATATCCAGGGGATGAAAACAAGCACATTTTGATTCATCCCAAACTCAGAGCACTTTCACAAATCTTAAATAACTTAGAATATTTTCTAAGAAGGAGAAAGGTACCATACATTCACTTTACTGATTGATAAGCCAGACACTACAAGGGCTGTCCGAGACCCCAAATTGGCCAGTTTATAAGGTCTCCTACCAGCACCCCAGACCTCTTCCTTTTTAGTTTACTGGAACTAAACTAAAATACTCATAACATGAATTCATGTATTTGGATTTCCATTTTTATCATCACATTTATTTATCTGATTTCTCATCGGGTATTTTTCCTTCTCCTAACTTGAAGGAAAAGTTGACATACGTGTTTCCTACTTTTTTAGAGGATGAAAACAAATGTCTAAATAATCATAAAAGTATTTCACTGGAGCTTATGATGTATTCTCCCAAAAGGTCAAATTTAGCATTGTTTTATTACTATTTTCCATTTTATACACTTTATCTCATTCCAGTTTTATCTTGATGAGGTTTTGGATTTTACCCACAGAACAGGGAGGGCAAAAGCAAGCCTGAGGGCGCAGTATGTGAAGATAAGCACTTCGGAAAGATTTGTGAACAATACAATGGAGTTATACACATCTTTGGAGGCTGACAATGGTCATTAAAGTGACCATTGGAATATTAAAGCATCATTTGTTATTAGAGTAATAAGTTGTCTATGACTTATGATTTATCATATAT